ATTTGGTAAGAATATGGGTACAAAGATAAAAATAAAATAGGTCGCACAGTCAAAGGTTTGAGTACAGGTTCAACCGGTCACTGCATTCAACCAAGATCATGAGGATCACATGATCTCTCAGACATGCATGTCTGTTTCATTTCGAAACTTTGGGAGCTAGTTTAGGTATAACAGTACGATCAAAATTTAGTATAATTTTCGTACGTCCGTCTGAATCCTATACTGCCATACAGTACTACTTTACTGAATATCTGTCAAAAGGGATATATGAGAGAACTAACAAAATATGTTGCGATGCCTGGAAGTAATAATATCAGCCAATATAACTTTTCTTTTTTACTGTATTAATTGAACATATTGAACATATTAAAAGTTTTTATTTTTTAAACATAAGTTATTTAACGTATTTTATAAATCCTTAATGTATTATCTGGCAACAACCTATTCAAATCTGAATGTTAATATCACAATGTACTTAGATTGACCAATTAACAGAATTTTGTGTCATGATTTTTTGGTATATATTCATTTTACAAGTGATATAAGCCTCAGAATTAGATAAATTTAAATACGTAAGAAATAAAATGAGATGTGAGAGGCGAATAGCTCATCATTTTTTTTTTGTAATAATTATTGTCAGAAAAAAATATGTACCTACATTATCAGTAAGAGATTAAAAAAACTAATAACATAGATAATTGTTAATGATATTCTTGATCATTAAACTACTTTGATTACGTTTGAATAAAACCAATCAAAAGCGTTAAAAGTTATACTGTTTATTAGCTATAAGAATTGCTGAGAAACATGATGACTATCAAATAATCTGGGCGACAAAATATGACCGATGAATTATAAAAAGTCAAAAGATCTTGAAAACAACTATTTAAATCTATAATTTTACTATGCTATACTATATTACTAATTTTTTTTTATAAATATTTCGTTTTTCTTTTAGCTATGCAGAGCAAAGTATTGAAAGTGCAAATTCAAACAAAAACAAGTGCAATACAAGTGAAGAAAACCCAACAAATTTTAGCATGGCGTGGTGTGGTGCAAACAATGTTAATTATATAATTAAAAGAAAGTATTTGTAATTTTTTCCTTTGAAAAAATTTTTCCTGTATTGATTCTGTGGCATTTTTAATTCTAGATAGGTTATCTATATATCTAATAATCCTAATACAATGCTAACCCTAGAACAAATGAACTTTAAAGAATTTTTTGATTGCAAATATGCTCCACAAACTTGGCAGACATGCTTGGGAATTTGGCATTGGAATTTTGAACTTTGGATTTGAATTTTGATAGGATTTGAAAATTAATAGTTTTGTCAGCATAAATAAAGAGGTTTTTAATAAAAAAAATTTCTTCATAAATTAATTTTTGACACGTCTGACGCAGATTAGAGATTAGGCCCGTATAAAGATTACCCGGATGACCCGTATAAGCACTCTTAACCAGTGTTGTACATTTTGGCTGTCCACAGCCTTTTTTGACTTGTCCATGTCCAAAATTGTCCAAGTGTCCAAGATTGTCCAAAGCTTGTATAGGCTTTAATAATTAATAAATCTATATAACTATATCGATATATTTTTTTAGGTACTGAATTTATTTCAATTAAAATTAAAATAGGTTATCTTGATAAAATTTTAAGTAATTTTACTTTATTTAATTGTCCAAGATTGTCCAAAGTATTGTCCAAAGCTGTCCCATGACAACACTGGGCTAGGGTACTCTTTACCGACGACAGGACTACTTTCTATCGGACATTTGATTTTTAATTTCTTTCCAAGTTTTGATTCACATGACGTGCGGACGAATAACATAAGGATTGATAAGCGTCATCAACCTAAAAAAGTTTCGCTATTGATTTTGTTATATCTTATCTCAAATTTTGATTTAACCAGTTAATGAAATTGTCTAGGTTGGTGACGCTGGGATAGTTATAGACAAGTGAACAGTTAAACTAATATTAGGAGTAATGATGAGGCTACCGATGTTAAGATGATAATTGTCACATTCAACAAATTTATAAAGGATCAAATTTTTTAATAGATTAACAGTTGAATTTTTAGCATCTAGTAGTCCCATTATATAAAATGTTCGTGGCAAAACCACGGGTCATAAATTAGATATAAGTTTTTTACCTGAATATCAGGATATATTTGGTATATCATTCATTGAATCTTTAAATTCACAAAGTTTGTATAGAAAATTTTACTTCCCACGTATTAAATTTGAGGAAGCTGCGAAGCCTGCAAATCGTCTATCATTGGATTATTGTATATCTCAGCTAACGAAAAATCAATTTCTAACTCCGAAAGAATATCTATTCGTCGTACAAAAATAGTAAAAATAATCAGTAGGACTTCACTTAGAAGTGAAGATTTCGTTATTTATTACTATTATTATCTATATTAGCTATTTATAAGTATTGAATGATAATTAAAAAGAACGACTAAGATGGTTAATTTTAGATTTTGAAAAAAAACACAAGCTGTTTAACTTATTGTATTTAAGCTTTAATGAACTTATATTGTTTTACATTGTGTAAAAAGTTAACTCATATTAAAATATTGATTGTAATAGACAAAAGGTGATAATAGTTAAAAAATATAGGGCTATTTCAAATCACTCTCGTTATAATAAAGTGAAAATTTTCCATTATACCGAGTCTTAATAAGTGACGAGTAAATTCTCTATACCGAGAAGCTTTTATATAAACTGTTTCATTACACTTATATCGAAAGTTCACTATAACGAGAATGACCCGTATTTAAAATTTATAATTAATGAATGTTTCACAGATAAACAAATGGACTGCTCAATCAAGGCCATCCAAAGTTAAAAGAGACCCACTCGCTTGGCTTTTAAGTTTTTTTTTTCAAAAAACTCACCCAGAAGTATTTATAGCAAATGACTTTTACAGAAATTTACAAAAACTGACCAGGCCACGTTATGAGAAACAATTATATGGTTTAATAATGTATCTCAAGGTTAGTAACGTCTCTAACAAAAGCAGTAATAATTAAAAATATAATTTCTATAGTTAATAAAGGACAGTATGTATGTTTCGCTGATATAAAGTTTTGCCTATTCTATGAATTCGTTGGATTTGAAGAAGCCCGGAGCTAAAAACAGAAACAAACAAATTAGATAATTGATGGTCTTCTGATATAAAATAGTGCGATACCATCAATAGAATACAGGCATATTGACACTTCTAAACAATTAAAGTTTTCACAGCTCATATCTCAATAAATTTTAAAGATACTATATCTATAAAGTTTGAGCTGTAAGAGTTAATATTTTTTTAAAAAAATTATCAATCTTTTCTATTGACGGTCGCATAATACACAGAACCTAGTCCATTATTTCATTATTAAATCCTCGCTACACTCCAGGCAATTATCATTATATGATACAATAATCAATCACAGATTAAATGAATTTCCGTCATCTTTTCATAAATTCTAGAACCAAAAATTTGCTATTTCAGAGATCGCACTATCGTTAGAATTGGTCAAAGACAGCTGTAATTTCGAAAGATATAAGTTATGATTCTTAAGACAAGACCAGAGAGAATGGAGTTTGTCCCAGTATTTATGTAATTTTTATCAGAATTTGCAAATTATTGGGTTTTTCAATTATAGAATAGACATGGCACAATTTTAACCAGTTCTGAGAGTGTAGGATTCGGAAATCCTATATTTTCCAAAACTTTACGAGTCTCTACGAAGGATCTAAGTTTTCAACGTATCGGACCTTACTCCGAAGAATTGGGTTATTACGTAATTGATGCGCGTTACGTATCACTTTCGTAACATTCTAATAAGATTTTACTAAGTCACGAAAATTAGCCAATCAGAACGAATGTTCGTCGGATGACACATAGATCAGTAAGTGTACACAAAATCAATGCGTTTCTATTTTTAGGTACTGCTTCAGCATGACTTTCAGTTATAGATTAATTTAGATAAATTGAATCATAACGATAACGATTTTACATTATTATTAAAGTAAAAAAAGTTTAAGCAAAAAAGATTAATGATGATTTATTAAAATATGCGTGCTTTAGTATGTACATTGCTTTTTGTAATATAAGCATTATTGCTAAATCATCAAATTATTAACTTGCAATGTTTTTAACAATATTCCGGAAAAAAAATTCACCCTTATCCATTATGTATAAATCTTGCTTCGAAAGCCATAGGAAGTCAAGGCTGAACATATCAGTATTGTTTTTCTAACTACAAAAAAGTGATTAACTTCACTGTAGTATGTACATCTTGACTTGCCTATCTATCATGTGCATATCTTTTTCCTTTTTTCTTTGATAACAAAAAAAAAAAAGAAAAAAGAAACAATTAAAAAAAAGAAAAAGTAAGTTATACTTAGTTATAGTTACCGGCTAGTATACGAATATTTAGAACTCCAACTTTCAATGCTTGAGTCGCAAAGATTGTTTTTCAAAGCGACGACATCTTGTTGCGAATATTGCCCCATGAGCACTTTTACCACGACTATATAAGCCTCATCGTTTATGAGACATAAGGGAGCATTGACTTGTAGTGGAAGTTGATCATTAGTGAGCCGCTTGAGAAATAGTTTTGAATCTGAAGAAAACATATAATAAATTTCGTAACATTAGTAATTCAATTATACATTTCAAGAAAAGAACGAACTAAAAGTAATTTGGATGATAATTGGTTGGAACTATAACTATAAAGATAATAAGTAATGACAAAGTTACCAAGATTATCCACAAAAACAATTAAATGTTCATTTGTATCCACCGCAACTTTTCTAATTAGTGTGCGAGGATCTAGTCGACCAAGCTTTGGGCTCAAAATCACTACATTGCCAAGACTCTCTTTATCAAGCGCAGGTTGTAATTCTTGTTTTACAACTTTCTTGACGTCTGCAACGTCGGCATTATATGGTACGTGAACTTTGACAGGGTCGGTATGTTGAGGATGTTTAATCCATACAACAAGATTTTCTTCAGGAGAAGAAGGCTGTTTAACTGGTAGGAAGAACCAAAAATGCGCAATAAAAGCAACAAATAAAGCAAACAAGCAAGAAAGTACAAAAGTAGGGCGACAAGAATGGGTTCTAATATTACGTTTAGGAATAGAACGCCTTTCTCCGCTTAGAGAAACCATATTTTTTTGAGAACGAAAAATTAACTAAAACTATCTGTGCGTAACTTTCTTATAAAAATTACTGCGGAATCCCAAATATGTAATAATTAGACGCACTTTCTGATAGGCGGCGTGTAACAATGAGAGATTATCGGAATTTCTACACTCTAAAGTCCAAACATCTAAATGGTAGATATAAAGATTTATTATTTGTATTATTATTATTATTATTATTTATCCATGATGAAGTTTAAATTTAAGCATGTATTATCGTAATCCTTTGAAATGCCGATGAAATAAATATCCTGAGAATCATGCAGTGATCCAAACCGACTTTTTTTTTTTGCAGTGATAAATTATTTACGTATGATTGTATTCATAATGATAATACATTTAGATTTTATTAAATGACAAAAAAGTCAAAAATCTACGCGATTGGTTATAATGCTTTTAGACAAACTCACCCTGAAAGTCAGGATGCAATCATCAGTTTACCGATCGATATAACGGAGTTCGCAGACAAGATAATTTGGGCCAATATGAACGTAACTTTGGGCGAAAAGGTGCAAAAATTGTTAAAAAATTTTATGTCTAATTAATTTTATCTAATTCTTGTTATAAATTAATTTAGTATATAAAAAATGAGAATGATTCAACAGTATTGTTAACATGGGGTTTTGACTCTGTAGAGAATAAAATAATTTCTCCGACTCGTAAATCTTTGCAAAGAATAAAAAAATGTTTTGGTAATGACAATGGCATCCGAGGTTTTCTTGATATTGATGGAAATGTTCACTTCGAAAGTGAACATTCGGGAATGTATGAAATTAGTAATTTTCATGCAAAAATTGTTGATGTCTCGCAATTTTGGACCGGTAATACTGTAATTGTGGTAACAGGTAAGATAACAAGACAGATGTCATTCAACAACTTTTTATATTAAAACTTGACTTGTGAAAAACCTACCTTTAAAGTGGATGGAAAACTGTACAATTGGAATATTGAACAGGCCTCTTCGGAAAAGATTACACTAGTTGATGATACGATCGACCAATTTTTTACAACAGTAGTATGTGGAGAGAATCATTGTTTGGCATTGACTCAAACAGGACAAGTATTTAGTTGGGGATCTGGAAGGTGTGTAATATCTATTGCTTCAACTCAAAGATAATTAAGAATCATTAAAAATAATTAAGAATAACTAAGAATAATTAATTAAGAATAATTAAACAATCATATTTTTAATTGATGCTATTTAGATACGGACAATTAGGCCATGGAGACACAAAATCTTTGGATAAGCCTAAAGTAATTGAATTTTTTTTGGGCTTGAGAGTAACTCAGATCGCTTGTGGTGGATGGCATTCAGCAGTGATTACTGGTAAACCATCTTTTCAACTGTGCGCTTTAAATCATACAAAATTAAATTAACAATGAATAGATTCAGGAGATTTATATACTTTTGGATGGAATCATTTGGGAAGACTGGGTATTCCTCCTCCTGATGAAGATGATCACACGCAACCTTCAATTAATTATGCTGAACCTACATTGATAGAACTTGATGAAGAAAAAGATCTGGGACCTAATGTGATAAAGGTTTCCTGTGGAAGCGCTCATACTGCCATCGTTACAGGTGAGTAAATAAACATTTATTAGACTTTTGATTATGCACAATGAAGGATAATTTATTCATTTTTGTATTCGAATTCGCTTAGATGATTATCGACTTTGGACTTGTGGATGGGGTATAATATTTCATTTTGATTTTTTGTTATATAATGGTTTACAACTAATTTATTTATAATAAATAGGTAAATATGGACAACAGGGTCAAGGACCAGATAAACTATCTGATAATCTTACCTTCATTCCTGTTTTCTGTTCAGATTCTAATAAAAAAATTGTTGATTGTTTTTGCGGCAGATGGAATACTTTTTTTATTATAGAAGAATAAATAAATTTTTTATGATCAATATATAATATATATATGAATTAATATTTATATAAATTTATATATCGATATTAATTAATAAATTAAATAAATTTATCATAACTCTTTGATGATTCAAATAACAATTTAGTTATAATACGTCATTCAAGTAATTCGTATAAAATATATATATCTATTTAGAAAGTTAGCTTAATCACAACTTTTAGGAATACTTAACCAGTTTGATATTTTGTAACGTCTTAAAATTTTCAGAATATATTTTTTGAGTCTCGGAAGAGGAAAGGCGGTTTCACACGAAGGGTTGAAGTTACTCGTGATAACACTAGTGTTCCTAATAACAATCCTAATAATTTTTGCGAGGATGAAACAACGGAACAGTGGAATAGTGGTTCGTTGTCTTGCAATATTTCCACTGGTGGCGGTCCTAATTTTTGATAATATTTCTATATACTAGTGTTGATGGTTTCTATACTACGTATATATGATCCTGATTTTAGAAATCACGTGTAAAATGTCCAAGAAGAATAAAACGACCATGGAATATTGAAGAGAAGCTTATTACTTGCATCTGCGATAATTACGATATGTTCAAACGTGATAAGCATAGTTTTTATCAACAAATGAGCGATCAACTATTTTGCTCGTGTTAGAAACTTAAACTTTATGATTAATCAACCTCTTTGATGAAATTAATAGATATCTTGATGTGGAAAATGAAATGGATGGTCCCCTAAAACTGAGAATGTTTCGTCCAATATCAATTTGTCGCCTTTTACGGCTACCATTGGCACTTTAATCTAAGAAATTTCGACCTAAGCTGTTGATAGAAGAGATTGCATCTGTCAATAAGGAAGTTCCACCGCAATGTTCAACTAGGAATATCGATGTTATTCCACCTTCTAGTACAGTCTTATCTACAGCTAACAAATTCAGGATAATAAATTCAAAATTCCGCTTTCAGGTCCAATATCGTCAGCACAGATGATGTGAATCCTTTAACGCCTGTAATGACAGAAATGCCAACGACTAGCTCGGATATAAAGTATCGATCTTCATCGTGCTCGACAACTCCTGAATTAGTCTTTTTCTTCATCCATCCAACTTACACCACTTCCGGTCCGCAGAACTGTATTACCTTCCCCTTCAGCTCTACCACCACTTTCTCGTTCTTCATTACATGATAATGATGTTACTCCAACCAGTGTTCGAAATTAGTGTTCTCAGAGTTCTCATGAGAACACTATTATATATTTGTGCATAGTATAAATTTTTTACTGTTCACTATTAAAAATTTTTTGAGAACAGTAAAATAATAATAGCGTTCTCATAGTATATAATAAAAAGCTGCATACCGTTATCATACCAAGCCAGAAACCGATAAATATACCTGCATTAATCTAATAAATTAATAAATATTTATCTATTATTATTAAGCAATTTGAATTATTTTTTTAATACTAAGTACAACTATAGTATATATTTTTCTGTATATATTGTTTTTTTTTTTTTTGTGAACTTAAAATCGTAGCTTGAGAACATCTACATTTATTGCACTGTTCTCATGAGAACAGTATTTAGATCTGAAATTTCGAACACTGACTCCAACCCAAACTCCAACTCAAATTACATTCTTGACGTTTGTTATGAAAATAAATAACTTTGATGAAATAATTGTACGTGTTCAAAAACAAGTTGTCGCGTCTCAAAACTTGTTTATAATGGAAAAGGCTCGTGAAGAATCTTTGATAAAATGAATTCAATAATTCAATTGTCGCGAGTTAAAAAATTGATCTAAACAAACCTATATATTGATAAGAGAATATGAATACATTTATATCTTTCACAATGTCTGCAGGATGGTCATTACTTTAAAATAGTCAATATTATTCATATGTTTATAAAGCAAAATTATAAGCGGGATCAAGCAAATATTTGAACACATTTTTATTGCTAGTGATTTTTTTAAAACATTATTAGAAATTATTCAGTAACAATAATTTACGTATCCACGAGTGTTGACAGAGTTGTTCCATGCAGCGATCTTTTAATTAAAAAATTTTAAGGGTATCAACTTCGTGTAACCAATAACAGATATTATATGATATCATATGATTTGACCAATCAGAATTAGTAATTATTTGTACTACCAGGAGAAAACATATAGCATCTAGGATAATTTTGGTTATATAAGAAGTTGATTTTTTTTTAAAACAAAGTATATTGTACAACTTCATTATTACAAACTATTTTAAACTATACAATATATAAGGTAAATGAAGGTATTTTGACGAAGTTACCACTTCTTACTAATAAAAGTCTGTTAAAAACTTGAAGTTTTATTTTTTTTGTTTTTGAACTATGTAAATTTGAATCTGCTTTACAATATAAAAAAATAAAATCTCAAGTTTTATATAAACTATATTATGATCTCTATATAACAACAATTTTTAACTTCTCTGGAGGTATTTTAACGAATGCGACGATCATTAACATTTGGTAAATGTGGTATCTTTTGATAAATTAAACATATTACAAGAAAATAGAGTTTTTTTAAAGTAAACCTAACTTTACTTACTAAGTAAAATTGTTCAACATATCATCTTTTACTTATCCTCAACTTATTAATAAAAGGTTATTTGAATTGCACCAAAATTTGAGGGTAAGTAAAAAATAGTATGTTGAACAATTTTACTTAGTAAATGAAATTAGATTTACTTAGAAAAAAACTTTTCTTGTAATATGTTTAATTCATCAAAATACTCATATTCATCATAATACTCTCACTTACCTTAAATTTGATACAAATTGGTTAAGATATTAAAAGTTTTATTAGAAGTACTTTTTTTTTTTTAAGATAACATTTTGGTCAGTGATTTATTATTAGATTTATAAATAAGTTACAAATTTAGTAATAAAAGTACAACTAGCCACATGTACAACTTTTGGTTGTCTAATTTAAATAGTTTGTTCTAAGATTCTATACTAGCTACCATATCTATAGCCTAATTAAAAAGCTATCTATTTAAACTTTCTGGTCACAATTCTTGTACTCTATCTTTAATCTAACTTGGGTATAATCTTATTACTTATAAACATAGATTTATGCAATACTACTAAATTGATAGCTAACTTAGAACTCTTTTTAGCTAATCCTTGACATAAACTTAACACTACATTGTTAAGATATATGTTTATTTAGTAACTTTGTTCTAATTAGTATATATTGTCTGTCACTATTGTATTTATATCTTATACTACCTTTTTGAGATGTTGCTATAATACAATCTATATTTCAAGCACAATTTTTCTAACTAGTTCTTCATTATTTATTTCTTATTCTTATTAAAGTTTACAAACCTTAGTACTTTATTTTTCCATTTATACTCTATATTTTTGGTTTAGTTTTTCAATTTAGATAGTCTAGAAGGATTGGTCTGTTCAGACTCAAGATTCCTAGGCTCAAGTTTGAAGATTTTCTGATTCTTGGTATATACTTTTATAATATATACTTTTTTTTTTAGAGATTTTATTTTAGAATTTTTTTACTAGTTACCTAATTAATAAATTAGAAAAGTAACAAAAATTAAATAATTTTTTAGAGAGAGAAGGTAATAAAAAATATTAAAATTATATATAAAGACCTGATCAAATATATAATAAAAATAGTGTTTAGTATAATCAAACAAAAATTTGATAGTTAAATACTTGTTAATACTTGTAATTAAGTTAAATATCAAATAATTGCAAATTATATATTTAGCTTTGGTTAATTTGCAATCATTTAATATCCAATTTAAACATAAGTATTAACAAGTATTTGATTATCAAATTTTTGTTTGATTGTGTCAAGTACTAAATAAAAAGAAGAGAAAAGAAATATACCTTTGATAAAAAAAAATCAAGTAATAAATAACACTGCTCTTAACTAATAAATATATAATTAGCATAGCTCTAGTAATCTTGGTAGCCTTGTTAGTAGATCCTTTTGCCTAAAGATTTTTGTTGCTTAATTTAATTTCTAAACCCTTTCATTTGCCTTGTAGCATAATCGAAAGTTTGCTGATCTTTATTTGAGATTTGCTAAGCTAGTTTTGGATTTTTAAATTCTTTGTATAGGTATTTTTGTAATTTTTTGTTTTTGAAAAACTTATTATAAGATTGTATTATCTAAACTAGTTTGTATTTTTTTATACAATAATATAAATACTTTTAGAAGCTTTTAGCATTTAGAGGTATTGGTATAATCTAAGCAACAGATTATAAACCCAATCTAATATAAGAGATTTATTACTATAATACAGATATTTTTGACTAAAACATTATTAGTGAGATTTGAACTTGATACTATAGTCAAGTTAGCTTGGAGGTATAACAACTTTACTACTTTACTAAATTACTACATTCTTAGAAGTTTTTTTTTTTAATATTTAAGATGAAACCTTGCTCTTATCTTTATTAAGTTTAATGAAAACTTTTTATATAATTGAAAAAGGTTTTATATTTTAAGCCTAGTGCTAAAAATAAAAACTTAGATATATAACTAGAACAACCTAATAGCTTAAGTTTATCTAATAATTTATTTGTAACCTAAATCTTTAAAAATATTTTTTTATTTACTATATATATAAAAATTAATATATAGTTAAACCTTTTTAAATACAACCTTTTTAAATATATGTTTTATAAAAACTTTTCTTAAATATATGCTTTTTTTTTAATCCAACTAACATTATATCTAAAGATTTTTATCTTTCTAAATACAATATCTTTTTAAATATATATTTGGTTTAATTTTTATATATAGTTTTATTATTAGGGTTCCTCAAACTCAAATCAAATCAAATATTAGGCCAATTTGAATTTGATCAAATCAAATTTGTCTTGATTT